CCTCATGTCTCTAAGCTGTGCAACAGTTCTATAAGGTCATGCAGAAGGAGTGAGCAATGGGGGTCTGATGTGTTCTCTTCTCTGTGACACCGAGCTCCTTAGAGGTCACAGAACGAGGTGACAACAACACAGCCTGGGAGTAGGTCAGGGTGAAAAATAGAAAAGGGAGGAAGAAGGAGCATGGATGGATGGATGGATGGATGGACAGGTAGATGGACGGATAGATGAATGGATGAATGGATGGATGGATGGACAGGTAGACGGATGTATGTATGTATGTATGTATGGATGGATGGATGGATGGATGGACAGGTAGACGGATGTATGGACAGGTAGACGGATGTACCTATTTATGTATGGATGGATGGATGGGTGGATGGATGGATGGACAGGTAGACGTATGTATGTATGTATGTATGGATGGATGGATGGATGGATGGACAGGTAGATGGATGTATGGACAGGTAGACGGATGTACCTATTTATGTATGTATGGATGGATGGGTGGATGGATGGATGGACAGGTAGACGTATGTATGTATGTATGTATGTATGTATGGATGGATGGATGGACAGGTAGACGTATGTACGTATGTATGTATGGATGGGTGGATGGATGGATGGACAGGTAGACGTATGTATGTATGTATGTATGTATGGATGGATGGATGTATGGACAGGTAGACGGATGTACCTATTTATGTATGTATGGATGGATGGGTGGATGGATGGATGGACAGGTAGACGTATGTACGTATGTATGTATGTATGGATGGATGGATGGATGGACAGGTAGACGTATGTATGTGTGTATGTATGTATGTATGGATGGATGGATGGATGGACAGGTAGACGGATGTATGTATTTATGTATGTATGGATGGATGGATAAATGTATGGATGGTGAGTGGGCAGGTGGGTGAATGGACAGGTGGGTAGATGAAGAATTATAGACATGGAGAGAGATGATGGCTAGACAGACTTAGAAGGTGAATTAAACATGACCCCAACCTCCAGGATTTTCCAATCAAGGAAGAGGCTGTGCTAAGTGTGGACATAAAGTTGAAATATCTTATCTGCAGTTAGTAACACGTTCAGAGTCTGCATTTTCCAGCCACACCGTAGTGTGTGTGATGAAGACCAGCCAGGCAGGCTGTGACTTGGGGCCACCATACTTGATTGCTCCAATAACAGATTTGTATATTCCTTCATTGTATGTTCCTTCCTAGCAGGCTTGTTGAGTGCCTACTAGGTATCAGGCACTGTTCTAGGCTCTGGGGACAGAGTAGTGAACAACGCAACTCCATGTGGAGTTTCCGCGGGGAGTGGAGAGGGGTATGAGGAGAGGTGTACGTGTGGAGTGAGCCAGATGAGACCAGATCAACAGAGCAGAGTGAAAAAGGGGGCTTGAGGCAGAGGCAGGTTGGACAGGACGGGTGTCACTTGCATGGACACCTGAAGGCAGCTAAGGGGTGAGTCAGGGACTTCCCCACGATCATGCAGTAACAATGTGGCTGCGTCAAGGCTGTCACCCAGGTTCATGGACAGGGGTTGGAGTTCTGGGGTTCCTGGGCTGAAACCTTAAAATAGTGGGAACACACCAAACATGGTTGTCAGCAGAGGAGGAGGGGATGGAGCTTGGACCGAGCCACTGCCACCAGCAGCTGCGATCCCTAGGCCTGCGTGCTCTCACCGTCCTGTCTGCTATCTCCTTCATCCCTCATAAACAGTCTTCTATGTACTAAGAGTTCATGGATAGTTTATGAGCAGTAAATGTTTCATATTTTATTATTTTACAGAAGCAGCAAATGCTGTACAAAGAAAGCTACAGCTCCACGTTCCAGTTGAGGGCTGCAGGCTGGAGTGAAGAAGGCACTTTGAGGAAATGAGGATCTGAGTGAACAGAGAGAGCTCCTAAGAGTTTGCAAGGTGAGGCTGAATGCATAAGGAGGGCAGGAGAGAAAAGGACCAGCCCGGCAGCCATGTTCTCTCTCCCCCACAGTATAGCAGCCTATCTATTAGGATTAGGTTCAGTTGCAAGGGACAGAAAACCCAAAGCCAGAGTAGTTCAAACAGAAAGAAGTTTCTTTCTTCCTTCCATGAAACCTCCCAAATGAAGCAGCCCAGGAGATGGGGACCCTGCCTTCCATCTTGATCAGCAATCCTCAGCATTTGGCTTTTACCTCATGGCTCAACATGGCTGCTTGAGCACCCAGACATCACATCTGTATTACAGCCAACAGTGCAGTGGAAAGGCGTGAAGAAAAGAATACTTTTCTGCAGCAAAGGGGTTTCTGGAAGAATGCCATTTTAGCCTGGCAATTTAAAGACCTTGAGAAGTCTCACTGGGTCCCTGGAAGACTCACATACTCTGCTGGGCTGCTGCATGGGATGGATGGATGGATGGATGGATGGATGGATGGATGGATGGATAGGTGGGTGGATGGATGGATGGGTGGATGGATGGATGGATAGGTGGGTGGATGGATGGATGGATGGATGGATGGA